TCCCCTGTTGAGGTTGATGGCCGTGCTTATTTATACCATGTTCTCATAATTTCTGCTTTTCGTGTCATTCTTGCTTCTTGTGTTTGTTTGTTCTCCTCTAGTTCTCCTCTAGTTCTCTATGTTCGCGGAGAAGGCGGAGAGCCGGAACACAGTACCTCTTATTTTTAATTTTTTTTAATTACTTACTTTTTTTTACCAGGCGTGGGCCATCCCCTGATCATAGGTGCCAAACATTTTTAGTATAAAAAATTAAAAAAATAAAGATGATGCACACTAAAAAAAAAGAAAAAAAAAGACAGAGTCATACGAGGATACATCCCTGACAAGAAGTCAGGCAGGGGCGGATAGGAGAGACGGGGCGCTCTGGCGGGATTTTACGAGAGGTTCCGCATAACGTAAGTAAAAAACGTAGTCTATCCACGCCACGGGGGGGGGGGGGGGGGGGGGGTAGCTGTGTTTTTTTTTTTTTTTTTTTTCACACGGAAAACTGAGCCTCTTGTACGGGCAAAATAACACATTTTGTGAAGAATCAACACATATATAAAAACGAATCATCATTATACAGTATTTACAGAGTCTGTCACTCAGTAGGATCACTGCACTGTGCAGGTTCACTGGATGCGTGCCTCCGCCGCCACTAGCACAGCAGGGGACTCAGGCATGGCAGGAGCAAACATTTAGAAAAGCGATCCTGTCAGCTTTTCTATTATTGTGTTCACATGGCAGAAAAAACGACATCGCTATGCTACGTAAGTTTCTACGTAAGGTGCTCGGTATTTCACTTAGGCTACGTAAAACTCTACGTAAGATGCTCGGTATTAGATCTACCAACGCGTGGTAGCCGTGTGCTGTGCACGTGCACGGCAGACATTGTATTCAGTGCATACAGTCCGCGGATCCGTGTTCGGATGTGCATGCGCGAGGAACTTCCTTCTTTGGAACTGCTTCTTGCATGAGCTGTTTCGGATATTTCGTCTCATGGCCTGGCTTATTTCGTTTCGGCGCTGCTGAGACCTCCTTTCGCGGAATATTACTCAATAACAGGTGAGTTGACCAGTTGCCTTTGATTCATTTGCTTGTGTTGACTCTTTCATTCAGGAAAAGTGTGCTGATTTTGGGGCGGAATGCAATAAATAATGGAAAAGTTGACAGGATCTCTTTTCCAAATTTTGCTTTTCTGCTGCCGAGCTGCGAGGCCTCCTTTTACGGAATACTCGATGACAGGTGATCTCTAAGTTGACCGGTTTCCTTCGATTCATTTGCTTATGTTCACCTTTCATTTACGGAGACGTGTGCTGATTTCATTCGGATTTAGATCCATTTTTAATATTTTTTATCTCTTTGCCCTTGTCTACAGTGTGCGAAGAACGCGAGTTCAACTTCTTGACGGTAAGGCTTTTGTTAGATGTGTTGTCGAAATACTCATATTCATTGTACATTGGTACGTTACAAGTAAGGCACTGGTCAGTGGCATACTATCGTTGGCAGTTCCCAATCTGGAGGGAAAGGTTCAAGTGCCAATTGACCGAGTTTGCAAAATAAATTCGCATATCAGGGGAAATCTCTATTGTGGAGAGGTTCAGTAACTTGTTTGTTTCATACGAAACAAGCCAATGGGTGCAGTCTCGTCCCGTGAAAATCTCGTACTTGTATGATTGGATTTGTTTACTCAAGTCTGGGCTGTTTGATTTGTGAGTACCGCCGAGATTGCACCGCCCCAAATAAAGTTTCGTGCCGCCAAAGCAAGAATTACGATCTGCAATCGGTTTGTAGTACCTGTAAGAATGTGGAGTACATGTATCGTACTTTCTCTGTTGCTGTTTCAGTTGCCGTCATGTTGCTAAAGAAAGGTTCAGTAGGTTCTGCAAAACGAAAATTCGAACGAAGTTTCACGACAGTCCTTGCGAAAGTGTGTGCGAATTTTTGCACGAACTTTGCGTTCTGCACATTTTCGTAGTTTGCGCGGGCCAAGTGCACGTACGCCATGATCCGATCTCACGAAATTTCCTACGACAGTTCATTTCGCGTTCCCTGCAAGTTTCGCGTCCAAAGGTGCGAAGTTTCGCACTTCATGATGTAGAGCGAAAGTTTGTACGCATTTTCGTTTTGCAGAATCTCTCTAGTGAGTAGTGACTCAATTGTTTCATACAAGACTAGTCAATGAGTCGGTGTGGCTTAGAATCTTTCGATGTAGAAGAAATCTATTCGTATGTCTATTGGACGTATAATTGTATTCTCTGGTTATAAAATAGGTTAAGCTCACAGAATAAATACCATCGGTCCCTTGGTGTTCGTCCTAAAGAGGTTCGACTGGATATCATTCATACTCACCAAAAGATGTGTAAGATTTTATTATTGTGGAGTGCCTTGTTTATCTCTCAGTACCTCCAACCATAGCCTTGCCCCTTTTCTCCTCAGGATCAGTGTAGTTGTTGGAACGAGGTTTTGGACTCAGCAATGTATTCGTTTACATTTTAATACATGTTTATTGTTCCTCCTTTGCTGTGTTGTTTTAGACAATCGTGGACTAACAGTTTGAAGTCATTGAACTACTTCCAAAAGTTGTATCGACCTCAACAGGATTACGATTTCAGTTTCAATATGATGCTGGATGACCTTATCACGATAACCCATGACTATAAACCATTATAAACACAGAATCAACAAAAACATCTGCGACACCCACCTGGCGCATGGCTACATTTCTCAAATAAATCTGATTGAGGGTGGAGAAATCTGAAATATCTGAAAGGCAAGGCAATTTTATGAGTCATGAAATTCTGCAACAGCAACATGCACAGAATGACCTCCGTATAAAAAAAGTATCACCACCACTGCTCACATGTTTCCCCGCAGAAGAACATGCATTATGCTGGTGCCATTTTCTGCAAGAAAAGAATTGCACATCAATGCGTATAATAATTATGGTATTGATATGATGTGAAGGCCATCATTTACATATTGATATAGGGCATTCCATTGATTGGTGACAGAAAAAACAAAAGAAATTATAGCAATAAAAACTGCTTTATGGCAGTTTTCTAAAAAAGGTTATTGTGTTCTAGTCCATGGAACCGGTCTAAAAAGTAACAAATTAACGAAATGTGATAGCTGAAAATTAAAATTTCACACAAAACCTCACAATAATCACACACAGAATGAAAAGCTACATGCAGAAGACCTTTTCCCCTGGTGATCCTCTTTCCTATGCATGCATGTTGCCAATTGTTGGTGCAGTACAAGTTTAGTGTTGAAAGCAGCATTTCAAGTGTTGTGATTATTGTGAGGTTTTGTGTGAAATTTTAATTTTCAGCTATCACATTTCGTTAATTTGTTACTTTTTAGACCGGTTCCATGGACTAGAACACAATAACCTTTTTTAGAAAACTGCCATAAAGCAGTTTTTATTGCTATAATGCTCCTTGAGCCACGCAGGCACATAGCACCACAACGCACCAGGGCAAACCCAAGGCGGCAGCGCAGCAAGGAGATAACCTGCCCGTATGGCTCCTTACTCTTCTCAGCCAGGAGAGAGGCGATCCGCGTGAAAAGAGCATTGGCATGCTTGCCATAGCCACCAGAGGCAGAGAGCACAACGGGCACGAAGGAGGCATGCTCAACTTCACGTACTCGCTCCTCGTACTTCCGGCGCTTTTCCTGTTCATGGCGTCTGTAGCTAGCAGCGAGGGAGGTGGCACGATTCGAAGACGCAAAAGGGTTGAACACCCGTACATCAATAAAGATGCGCTCGAATCGGCCACCCCACACACCACTAGCCGCAACGTCCAGCCGAGCTTGCTCCTCCGTGACAGCTGTGCGATGGCGGAAGGCCTCTCCGGTGACGGGCTGGAGGTGGGGTTCCACTGTCACGTTGTGAGCGACCTGCCTCAGAGCTCTGGCGGTGATGTCCCTCACCTCGTTGTGTCGCAGCGTCGGGAAGCCACCAAACGGGCACGACAGGGCGTGACTCACATTCAGCGGCTTACTGCACACACAGAGGCTTGGGAGCCGAGGAGGTGTCCAGCCGTACCGGAGGCACAGGCCATCCCGGAAATCTCCCTTGCTGAGTGTGAAACCATGGCGGCTGAGGGGGCGGCAGGTCAGCCAGCTGGATGCACCCTTTTCTGAGGCCAGGTCGAGAACAGGGGCCAGCTCCCGGTGATCCGAGCGAAGAGCGTCAGCCATAGACTTGAACGCGCTCCGCTTCTCGGCCCGAATCGTCGCCTTGACCGTCCGGAGCTGAGTCAGAGAGTCGCCAAGAGACGACTCCTGCTCCAGCAGGCGAGACACGAGGCTAGCCGTGATCCTTCGGGATGAGGTGTACTGTTCAGCCACTGAACAAGGGTCTGCCATACCCAGTCCCCCAAGCCGGCAAGGCAGAGAGAGAGTAGGGAGCGAACAGTTGTCCCAGGTGGAGCCTGACCCGGGGCCGTGATGGCCGGGATGAGCCGACCGCTGATTGCGTGTTCCAGCGGTTCAAGCAAGGATGGCGGGATGGAGGAGGTCCGGCAGAGGAAGGACCACTTGTTTTGCAGGCCCTGTGTGAAGGCGGAGTAGGCGGCCTGTGGCTGCGATGCACCGATGGTCGTGAGCTGCGCAACTTCCTCACACCAGGTGGCGACCTTGGACTGGACAAATTGTTCTATAAACTCATCCGTGCCCAAAGGTGCACCAAGGTGGCGGCAACCATCACACGTGACCTGCACACCGGTCCCCTCGAACATCTCGATAGCAGCTGCGTACCTGGAGGGCTTGACCAGGAGGAGTGACTTCTGGGCATTGCAGTGGTAGCCATACCCAGGACCTTGGCTGACGAGATTGTCCCACCATTGGCGAACAGGCGTTAGCTTGCCACCGGCTGCAGCATCGTCCGCAGGGTAGCTGTGTTTTCGACACACCGGAGATGAGTTGAGTTTTTTGCAGCTCCGGGCTTTTGAGCAGATCTTCGATTTAGTCCGGGATCCGGATTCTGAGAAATCAATTTTTCGCAGTTGGTGTGCCACTTTGGAAGGAGGATTTGGGCATGGTCCAGTTAGATAGGGAAGGGGTTTGGTAGCATGGATTCACTTGTCGGACTCCTGAAAGCTGTGCCATAAGCTTGCTACGAGGGGGTTTTCATGCCAATTTCTCCTCGCCGATTTCAAGATCTTCGTGCACCTGAGCATTGATTGGGCACGCTCACATGAAGCATTTTACGCGCAGTGAGGGAAATGCATCAGTATAGTACAGTATTTTTGAATTATTTCAAAAAACGTTGTCAACACTAGTAATAGCACTCGACTCGTCTCGAATCGATTGAAGGATTACTTATTAGTGGTGTCGAGTCTGAAGCCCGAGCCAATGCTGTAGTTGCTGAAGCCCCATCCTATGGAATACTACCAACTCCCCGGCACAAGGTGAGCCAGTATTTTGTCTTGAATCACGAACTTGAAAAATAAATTTCCCAAAAAAGAAGACACATTGTGAGTTTGATATCAATATTCAATGTTCAATAACAATGCACTTCTGTGTTGGTACACTGATTCTGGTATCCAATGAAAAGAACAAAATAACGTGTCAGTTTATGTCCTCGCTGCATCTCTCTCAAGAAATATTTCTCAAGAAATATTCGTTCAGTTCATCACTTGAATAATTGTCAGTAGATTAATTATCAGTACATGATGATATGTTGCAATGATGCGCACCTCCAGGTAAAATATATTAAAATAGATCATCATGTACTGATAATTAAACTTCTGACAACAACAAAAAGTAATACAATAGTATCTCACACACACAATGTTTATCAATATACAAAAGGAATATGCTGCAATGATTCGCGCATCCTGGTAAAATAGTTAAAAGTACCGTAAAATCCCGCCAGAGCGCCCCGTCTCTCCCATCCGCCCCTCCCTGACTTCTTGTCAGGGACGTGATTGATTGTATCCTCGTATGACTTTGTTGCAGTCTGTGATGCCGTACTGCACTGCAGACGCGTGCTCGACCCCGTTGGAAATGTACGCAACAGTGCCCACCCTCCTGACCAGGGATCGCACAAACCCTGCGTTTTGTCGGGTCTGTTCGACTCCTGGCTCTTGACCTTTGGTCGGTGTACGAGATGCACGAACAGTTTTCGTAGGGTGAGTACTTTTTCATGTAGCACTGAATGCGGCAAGCAGGACTCGCCCATCTGCCCCTCCCCACCTGAAGCGGAGGAGGTAGGGGCGCTCTGGCGGGATTTTACGGTAGTACAATTTTACACTGTATATTACACAAACTGTTTCTCAATATGATGATATGCTGCAATGATGCCGTGCACGTGCGCACATCCAGCCCACAGTGTCTGTGTAGCACTGTCCGTGCATGGAAAAACGGTCGTAGGTGGTCGGTAAAACGAGAGGTCGCTTACACCAGGTTTTACTGTAGTACAATAGTACACACAATGTTTATCCATATACAAAATCTAGGAATATTGCCACATGGCATGTATGTTAGTTGTAGAGCCTTGCTGTCACTGTTAGTTTTCTAACTTGATTCATTCTTGTATGTCTAATTTCTCCCTTTACAATATGGCAGCTGCGCAAGGAATTCAAACTGACGCACTGTCACTATCAACGTTATCATTGCTGAGATCATCACTCGTACATGCAGCTGATCCATCACTATCGGACACACGAGTCGTCACAATCTGAGTTTGGCTGGGCATGATTGGACTCAGTTTCCAGTTGCGATACGTCACCGGACGTACTTTGCTGTGGTGGTTGCTCTGGCCTACTGTTGAGCGGACTTGCGCATGTACCTTCGCAGCGGCAGATGTCAGTGCACGCAAGAGATGACTTCTTGCATGAGCAGCGTTGAGTGTCACACACTCCTCGGCACCCGCAGCTGATGAGGCTCTGAAGTTCTTTTGGCACTGCCTGCTGTTCTGTCCAATTCACAGCAACTCTGCCTGAAGGAAGAAACAAACATTGTCACAGACAGTTAAGGGGGCACATCACCCAAAAATTTCATATGGCATTCAATTGACCGTAACTTTGGTGTTTCTCAGTGGATTTGAGTGAAATTTTGACCACACACTCCTGCCACTATGCTGGCCCTCAGGACATGATTTACAAGTTCTTGCGTCTCACTGACAGGCTTTCCAGGCCGGAAAAACTCAAATTTCCGGCATAGTGCTACGGTGTGCGAGCCACCCAGGAGCCAAACAAATGCATTTACATTTTTTTCACATTTTCGTGCCCATTCTGTCCGTGCGCGGGACCCAAACCTAAAACAAGTCCAGAAGCAGCCATGGGTGGTGGGGTAGGGCCCCTCAACGTGGCCCTGGAATCTGTCACAACGGAACGAGTGGGCGTTCTTTCACGGACTCCCACAGACCCAAGGCAATTTTTGAATTTTTTTAGGTTTGGCACGTGCTACGAGGTCGTACCTTTGATACAACATCCAGTGCTGGGACCTCCACAGCAAGCCATTTCCACAGCGCTGCAAACCAAATCCAGGATGCCCTCAGAAACCGGCAAAGACTGCCACTCACGTTTCACTACTGCCTAGTACTGAATCCTACCTGACTTCTTGACACGACTCAAACTTGCCAAAGTCACTAAATCAACGTCAACTACAATAATCAAGCCACATATCTGCAACGTCACGAGGGTGCTGGCAAAAGTCCTGCTGCACGTGGTTTTTTAACGTGATTTTTTGGACTTTTTTGGACTTGGGGCAAAATTCTGCACACTTTCGCGTGTTTCCATAATACGACAAGTTGCGCACGGTCTGCTCACATTCAAATACAGTGCTGCCAACAAATGACAGCATGCAACAAAAAAATCTTTCCTTGCAAGGGCACATTTTCGGCCATAACTCTTGAACGGCTGGTCAGATAGGGACACAGTTTTCAGAGAATTTGCAGCTATTCATGCTCTTTCAACTGACGTAGCACTCAATATGAATTTACAAATTCGATTTTTCAGCGAATTTTTGGGTGATGTGCCCCCTTAATTTATTCATCGCGTATATTTTTGCAGTAGACAGTCATAGATATCTGGTTAAATGGGAAGGGCAGCACTGTATCCTTTATCCTTTTATCTGCTAATTACAATTCTTTCAACCTTGCAGTATGTTTCTCAATATCCGCAGACTCCACTGTAGCCTTTGTAGACGCGTACCATACCATAATAATTACACAAGTGTAAATTTCCTCACGCATAACTTGATCCAAAGTTGGGTACATTATCGGTGCTAATTATTTATCGGAACAACTTACCGTCGCTGTCTTGAATCCATCCTCTGCCGATGGGCGTAGGCACATCGGGCTTCGGTTGCAAAGCCAGTCGCCACACAGTAGCCTGGTAATTAGCGCGTGCTGTGTGGACATTATGTAGCTCTAACACATCTCCAGTGCGTAAGCCAACAGCCTTCCAGCTCGGAAGGTACCATAACCTTGAACCTTCCAAGCTGGAAGGTCCAATCAGTGGACAGATCACCATTTTAACCAATTTCTGACTTTGGTCTGGACGGAAAATAGTGGGGGAGATAATTGGAGAAAGCTCAAAATCAACCAATCGAAAAAGCCAAGAAAGAACTTCGTACCACAAATACAAAAGAAAAAAAACTTCCTATCGGGAAGTAGTAAAATACCTACTACACAGTGTATTCTACCTCACGGAATACCACGGCATGCCATTTCCATCCCCCAGAGGCCCTCGCCACCGGAATGGCCACGGCGCGGTACAGAAGGAGCCACGGAATGAACTCGCGCCAAAACTGCCCCTCACGTGAGCAAATCATCATGGGTAGTACTCACGGCACGCACGTCGAGGCATAACCCCCCCCGACGACATAACGGTATCGTAGTGGAAATCTGCCCTTATCCAGGGTCATTTGACTGGAAATAGCGTCCCTTGGTCCTGGTTTTAGTGGTCTTTTAAGGCAGGTGGTCACCTCATCGGAGCGGTCGCCTTGACAGGATTCACTGCAGTATTTGCGGGGTCCGCATCAGCACCGCTTGAATGTTCAGAAACGCACGTTACTACACTGTTTTGTCAAGCACAGTGCATCCTCCGCCTTCGTCAACCAGGGAGTCGTCAAATACCGTATTTGGCGACTCCCTGCTGTCAACCAAACAATGCTTGTTATTTAAATATACAGTCATGTACATGTACATATGTGTATGCCGCAGCCAGACTAGTCCGATTCATGGTTGCCCACTGTCCCATCCAGACATGCAGACGCCTGGTACCTGGGTACCATCACCGGTAGGTGAACGAGATCAAATTGATGTGCGAAGTTTTTTCATCGTCAATCACAACTCTACCTATGATTTTATGATTGAGGAAAAAGGAAAATGGAACCAGGAAACATTCATTGGTTTGGGGGTAAAGATGCAAACGGGAAGAGTATGAAGAAAAAATCGACTGTCACCACCAGGACTCGAACCAGGGACCTTCGCTTGAGGCCAGAGATGCTCTGGCCACTGAGCTTTGCTGTAGATGTCATCAACAGTACATACTAGAACCGCGACAGAATTTCAAGTTGACGTCATTATTTTATGATGCAATGCTCCAATGCTCCTTGCACCAGTGGTTTACAACAGTTGTACCGGTGTCAACGATTCACGCGCGTTTTTCTTTGCACTAATTTGTACAGGATCAGATGGGTTTTGGTCCACCACAGGTTCCGGATTCGTCTGATAATATGTGATAATCCGTGTACGCATTGCATCATAAAATGACGTCAGCTTGAAATTCTGCCCGGACAGCACCCATATTTCGAGCTGCACACTCTTGGGGGGGGGTATGTACTCTTGCTGTTATCCAAGCAGAGACCGTTCAACATTTTCTTCAGACTTTGAAACCGGAAACAGTAACAATCAATGGTAGGGGACGCGTGAGCTGGCCGTGCCAGTGGGGCAAATCAAGCGCAGCCGACAGACTAGACGGTGTCCGCATGTGTACATGTACCGGCACGTGACTGACATGCACTGTTCTGTGCGCAATCTCTTCAGGGCCGGCCATGCTGCCGACGATGAACACGACCATGCTGAAAGGCTGCGGCACCGCGAAGCAGCTGCAAAGGTGCGGCTCCACCATGGGAGAGCAGAGCTGCAACGCCACCCTTAGCAACACTACCGGCACGGCCAACACCACCCTCTGCGCCATCTGCTGCAAGGAAAACAACTGCAACGCGCTGGCTGCCCGCAACTCTGCTGCCTCGTACATCGCCGCCACCTCCATGCCACTCTTCGTCTTCGTTACCTTGGTAAACACGGCGTTGTTGGGGTTGTGATGACGGTTACTATTGGTTACAGTGAAAATGGGACTGCGATATCAGTTGCACAGAGCAACACATATTTTGGAATTTTTTGATTTTTCCACCAAGCTTGTTATACTCATTAATGCATGTTTCTGTTTTCGCTGGGCTGTTTACAATTCTAATTTTGGGCCTGTCCTTCAAATTGCCCGTCACACGATCAGAAGGTTTTGACCTGTAGCGGCTGTAGGTCTCTCTTGAGACCACCGCTGATGTATCGCTTACCACAAATGGTTAAACAGCTCATTCACTTGAACCTCACCAAATGCCTGCACCGAGTATGGATGTAAAATGTACACAATGTAATGTAAATGCACATGTTCACGCCTCCTCACATTTAGTAGCATGCCGTAATGATTTTATATAACAATCATCTGTTGTCATTGGCCTTTCGTGGTTTGGAGTGACATGCAGCATGATGCTGACACACACCATTAATTTTTACCATTGGACCATTTGACGCCCATAACCGGAGGCGATGATAGCGATGCTACAGCAGAAGCCATAGCAGCTTGTGCTGGGATTGCACCATTCAACAGCTTGCAAGGCTGAAGAATTGACCGCCACTATTCAGCCTGGTCTACACCACACAGCTATGAAGTGGCTTTTTCTGGCCAGTGAATCACTAATAATTATTTTTGATCTTTTTCATTTTTTCATTTTTTTTCCGCACACACATCACACCATATACTCCGGCATGCACTGGCTGTTGGTAACCACCCAGGAGAATGAAAGAAAAGTCAGAAGGAGTCCTAGAAAGATAAGAAAGATGTGTGTGACCATAGCCGTCGGGAATCGAACGCGCAACCTATCGATTAAAAATCGCTGCACATACACCACTGCACCATATGGGAAACACACATGCACACACATGCACACACTCACATGCACGCATGCGAGCCCACACACATGCAAACACACACTTGTACTTGTTGCTCACTGCCAAAACTGGTCAAGTGGGTCTCCTCGGGAGAGGGGAGAGAGACTCAAAAAGAATCTTGGAAAGATGACTCAATTGGCTATTGAACCGCCCAACGGCCAACACCCCCTGAAATCCCCAAACTGTGTGACTCTGTTGTAGACTTGAAAATGTTCCCACTTTTGGGCTCACCACACCTCAGTAAGTGGGTGAGGACAAGGTGCAGACAAAGGATTGACGGCATCAGGGTATCCGTCCCGGATCCAACTGCAGTTACCCCTGCCCCCAGTGATGGTAATACTACTAGTGTGGGTGGCTAAATCAGAGTGGATCTGATACAAGCTTCACTAGCACCATGATTACACAAGAGTTAATCTAGCCAGAAGCAGTCCATGGTTAACACGTATGTATACTTCAAATAGAAAGTATATGAACCCTGGAACCAACAAAGGTGGCAGGTACAATATCACACCTTCAAGTAGCCGAGCCCGTTGGCAACAGACCCAACAAAATCAGGCATAAGTGTACCCACCAACGGAACTAGCTGGCACGCACACACACACACGCACACACACACACACACACACACACACACACACACACACACACACACACACACACACACACACACACACACACACACACACACACACACTACCACACACACACATACACACATATACACACACACACACACACACACACACACACACTACCACACACACATATACATATACGCACACACACACACA